CGCGGGGGAGTCGGTGTTTGCTAAGGAAATACATAGTTGACGCAAAGTCTTACACAATAAAGTATTAAAATTTCTGAGCCTTTCAAAAGATTAAATTTGCTTTTAAAAATGTCAAATGTACTTTGATAAGAAAGTCATGTTTAACCTAAACTTTTATCATTCGTAACCTATATTTCCTAGGATAAAAAAGCCGGCATGAGAGGGACATCAAAACAGTTTGGTTTGCTCTTCCAAGTTCAAATGGTTCACAAAATGCAGCAAATGATTGGTAACCTCGATAATACTTAATCTACTCCAGAGCATTTATTTGCTTTCCCAGCAAATGATAGGTAAACTTCACGGTCGGAAACCCACTCCAGAGCATTTATTTATCATTTGCAGGGGAGATCTTTAGTGGGCAAGTTTTATTTTATTTTATATTTTAACACAGAGGAATTTGGGATGGGAGGGATAACAGAACACAACAATGTTGCTTCTGTAGCTGGACCTAGGGGTCTTCATGATTAAAATCGTTATTTAATTGAATTGATTTAAATAAAAAATTAAAAATCAATTAAATTGATCTGTGCTCTTTCTCTCGTTGCCTTCCCCTAGCTAGTGTATATTTTTATTACAATAATAATGAAACGTCTTCTTATCACACAAGATATTTCGCAAATATTTTTTCCTTATCTGTTTCAGGTTAATTTGAAGTTCGGAAAGATGGAGGAAATTTTGAGGTCTCTTTGTCTACTTTAAATAAACTAGCTAGCCAGGAATATCAAATACATATTGCCTTTGTACGGTGGTAAAAAAGGCTGTGGTAATGAAAACAACATGGAGAGAACTTTACGATCATAGTTTAATGATAGAGAATTTAGTCAATTTCTTTTCCCACGGAGTCTTCTAATGCTCTGGCTTTTTTTTTTTTTAAATGTGTAAATAAAAATAAAAATTTTATTAATTAGTTTTTTATTTAAAAATAATTTTTTAAAATAGATAATAAATTTTTAATTTTTTAAATAAAAATACAAATTTTGTGTTCATTTTAATTTAAAGACTTATTAGATAATAATAGTAACACAACAAATGATAATTTTAATTGAAATAAAAAAAATTATATTTATAAGTATAAAAAAATAATAAATGTTATATTTTTAAATAAAAAATAAAATTTATATCTTTATTTGAGCATTTTCTCACTGTTTTCCTCTGCGTTTTGTATCATATAATGAATTTTTTTTTTAGCCTGCGCCGATGTTGGACAAGAGAAAGAAGATAAAAATAAAGAAAGGCTGAGAAATTTGTACTGGGGGAGCAGAGACGCCTACCAAAGTGGTATCGAGGCTGTCTTTGCCTTTGATTTTTTTTTTTTTTTTTTTTGAACATTCTTTGCTTTTGAATTAGTGGCAGTGACAGTGGCGGAACCACATGCGTAAATGGTTAGGCATAGTTCCCACCATAGGTTACAAAAAATAAAAAAAAATAAGGACGTCTGACTTAAGATTTTAGTCAAAACAAAGTTTAGGTCCTACCTTTAATCTCTCTTTTTTTTTTGGTACCTCCAACCTTTAACACTTCTTTTGTAATGACGGCCTTTTTTTGCAAAGACAAAAAATGGTTTAAGCTAAAGTCTGAAAAAAATGGAAGGCCCTACCTTAATCGATTCTTGGTTCTGACTTCGGCCACTGATTAGTCGGTGCGGGTGAGGGGTGGTAGTCATGATGTGGCAGCGATGGCCACCATGGTGGTGGCTAAGACGGTCACTGTGCATATCTAGTTTACAAAATATAAATGAAGTTCTTATTTTTTTATTACTCCTAAAATAATAGACTTCATTTGATTTGGAGCAATTTATACTTTTATCAGTATCACTCTTAAAACAAATAAAAATAGAAAGATTTTTTTTTATATAATAAGATGAATAATTAAAGTTAAGAAATACTGATAAAATTAAAGTAAAAAAAATATTTATCTTCTTTAACATATAAAAAAATATCAATTATTATAAGATAAATTCTAAATTAAAACATATATATTATTCTGTACATTTGACTTCTAAGCAACTTAATTTAATAAATGATCTATTAATTATTGACTTTTTTTCATTTCAATCTAAAATCTTTATGTTTCATCAAAATTATCTATTAACTTTAAAAATTATATCAATTTTATCTATCACCACAATTATATTAGCTAGCTTAACAGGAAGTCAATTTCATTGCTCACATGGGACCATGTAAGCTGCCAAGTAAGTGCCATGTGTCCAAAAAAGAGGAGAAATTCCTACAAAATTAAGGACAAAGTATTTTTAAAAAAAGAAGAGTTCGATAAAGAAGTTTGGTGATTTCTAAGATATATTATGAATTATTGGTTTGCAGATGTTTTACCATCCTTATCTTTCACCTTCTTACTTTCCATAATATTCACACACCAAGTAATGATATAATAATTATTATGATAATTAACATCCTATAATTTCGTATATTTAGATGGTGAATTATTTTTATTTGGTAGATAATTAACTCTTATTTTGTAAGTCTTATAACTCTTGTAACTTTTACCATTTTACTACCATATACACAAGGCTTGTTATTGAATGGGGAAGAGATGAAAGAATGAAGAGGAATAACAATTTCTTTATAGTCTGTGTGCATCACTTTGTTTTCTATTTC